GGGGAGGAGAGAGAGAGAGAGGATGCTTCTCACCTTGTGAAGAAGAGCTGCCAGACCTTGTGGAAGAGCACGCAAATCTGAGGCTGACTCTCCTAACTGTGATAACTGTTGTAATATTTTCTGAACTCGCAGCTCTTGCAGAAGACCTTCATGATTCCTTGGATCATTTTTCCATGCAAAGAAAGCATCATCATCTTCCCACTTCTTTCCTTGAGCCCCACAAGAATCCATAAACCATTTCTTCACCATAGTGAAGGCCAAATCCTTAGATACCTCCTCACCAGCCGCTTCTCTCACGGTCTTAACAAGAGCCCCCTCCGCAAGTCTTCTTTGAAGTCTCCCATAAAAGAAAGCCCTTGAATTTCCCCACTCTATCACCTCTTTTATGACCCCTTTTGCCTTCATTCTCAGTGAAGTGTCATGAAGTTGTGCAAACTTTGTGGCAATCTGAGTATAAATCGGAAGCAACTTCTTTTCTCGCTCTTTTATCTTCTGTTGAATTCCCTCTGCCGTCCCTGAAAGCCCAACACTCTTAGCCTCTTGAAGCTTTGACTTCAACGAAACCAACTCAGGATCAAGTCTACCCATACATTCTATTAACTCTTTGGTCCTAAATTTTATCTCGATCATTCCCTCTGGTTCAAGCACATTCCCCATTGCCGTACACTCTGCATACATCTCAACATGGTCTGGATTTATCTTACTATCAATAACAACCCATGCTCCACCCCTCAGCTCTCCAGTTTTGGGTATAAACACAAAAACAGGTTGTGCATAGGTCCTGAGGTTTTCAACAATGGTGGACCCAGCTTGAAGAATCCCTTCGAAAAGGTCTCTTTGCCCACCTGAAAATCCTCTCCAATTTGCCAAAATGAACAGAGGAAGCTCCTCTCTATTGAAATCTAACAAAGCTTGGGAGGTTTTCATGGCTGAATCAGGAAACCAGACCTGACCAGCTTGTGGTACTATCCTCTCATGTGAGTCTAACTGGCCTGGATCGGCAGGTATAACCTGCATCATGGTTTGGGTTTCAACTGCAACAATACCCACAGGGATTCCTCCAAGCTTAGCTCGACCAGTAACCACTGTTCGAGCCCACCCCTCTAAAGTCTCAGTGAAACTATCTCGGTCAAAAATTCCCCCTAACCATTTGCCCTCGCCCAAGTGGGTCCCGCAAATAGCGGCTCGAGGGTCACAGGAATTTTCGGGACAATATTGAACAGGCCTCGAAGGTGGGTCCTGAGGAGCCAAAATGGGAAGTGGCCCACCTATATGGGGGGGCACATAGCTTAGCCACTTCAAAATGGCAGAAACACCTTCGAGATCGTCTGATACAGTTAGGTGGACAACCCCATTTGTGGCCATGATTTTTGGTCCACCAAGTTGCATATGCGAGCTATAGACTTCACGACCTAGAAGCTTATTTAGAGCAGAGAACCCAGTTAGAATTATGGGTTGGTCAAGCCTCTGGATACATCGCATGCCAAGCCTGGCGAGATAAGCACCTATACCTACTGTTCGGCCAGTCACGTAAGTTAGAGTAAATGTCTCCCTGTATGCCCTAGAATAAGCACCAGCAATGGCACCACTTCCTGTTAAGTTTTCAGCACCCAATCCATCCTCCTTCCCAACAATTGTATCCACCACCCATCTCGTTTCTCCACTCCCTAGCTTAAGCTCATGAGCTATAACTGATGAACGAATTCGCTCATAATTCTCAGGGTCCAGATAAATGTATTGGAAGCCCCTTTCGGGCTTTGTTTCATCAGACCACCCTACCTTAAAGCAAGTCTTGACTTCGTCTGCCACCCCAATTCTAGCACCCGAGTTTGCAGCCAAATAGATCAAAGGAATTCTTTTTTCACAAGCTAGATTTGTTACTGCGAGGAAAAACGCATCCTCCCTTGGGCCAAATGAGCCAGCTTTGAAGGTCACGTCATTTGAGACCACTATGATGGTTCGACCTGATGGGAATTCAGGTGTAGACATGCGCATGCACCATGCTACCATGCCCACATCGTTCTGAGCAGGTGGGCGATCTGAAGAAACCAAAGGGGTGCCCCATGCTCCTTGCTTGTCGGCAAATATGAGCTCTGACACTTTGAGGATGTCTTTCTCCTTTACCATGCTCTCACTTGGAGAATGGGATGCCCATAGTTTTCGTAATGCAGTTTCAAATGCCTGCAAACCAGGAAAAATTTGTAAGAGATGCATGGACGATTCTATAGTTTAAAATAATAAAGAGAAGGTATGCTATGATCCAATGGGCAATGGAAAACCTTAGTAACTTAGGTCATTTCCATCAACTTAAATGATGGATGGTGGAGAAAAAGTGGGTTCGTCCATCCAATTCTCAATGGAATGTGAGAACACCCCAATCAATTGGATTAGAGCATACTTTAGCAAAATAAAATAAACGAAAGGGAAAATTTCATGACTTCACCAGAGGGAAATCATAGCAGTAGGTAGTGTTGCTCTTCCTTGCTGAAAGACGCTTGCGGTCAATGGTTCCCAGAGGTTGATATCGTCCACTCAACGGAATGCCATGTACGGGAGCTGAGGTGGACAGCTTAGAGTGATACACCACTTCATGTCTATTTGTGTCCTCCAATTCTCGATAAACCTGCAATAGAGTTTACACAGCTAGATGCACTTTATTCTATGATGAATTGAAGTTAAAAACTAACGTGCAATTATTTGACCACTCAAATGTAGTCATATTTTGTGATGATTATAGCATTCAACTATTCAGTTGGTTTATAATATATATGAGATTCGACCTAAAGACTATTGTACCATTCTAATACCATTTTTGAATGACAATTATGTTCCTTAACGAAACAACTTGCCTTTATTATATGGGATTGTGTACTATGAGACCATATGTTTTTGATACAAGAAGGTCACAATTACTTTTAGCCATTGGATGTGAAATCCAATAGATAAAGTATGTCACAACATTTGAGAAATTTTATTTTGGACTTTGTGCCAAAGCAATAACACATTCTCAACCACCTGATTTCAAATCTAACGGTCAATAATGATTGTGCTCTTCTTATATAAAAAGTAAATGGTCCTATTGTATATATTTCCTTATTATATTTCTTCTTTCTTTTTTTTTTCCAACCCTGTTATGTTTACTTTTGAGTTTGTTTAATGATTTCGTCAAATATTGTGATCTTGCAATTATTCTTACATTTTTATGAAACGCATGTGCCTGCAAATGAATATATTTCAACTATTTGTGAAGTACTCCACCAAACTTTCGCAGCTTTAATAGTCACAGAAAGAAAATCATCATCTATTATCAATGACTTACATGGATGGTACAAGTATGGCCAGTCAAATTTGTAATTACAACCCTCCAGGCCCCGCTGGCAAGTCCAACATAGCCTATTCGAAGCTTCACCTCCCACTCACAAACTGCTAGTCGGTACATTTTGACACCAACAGTCTCATGGATACTTCGGGCCATCTGCTCTAAAATCATGTAAATAGCTTTTTCCTCCTCCCCTTTTATTTCAACATCACTGGATCAGCAATTTCAAATGTCAGAAATTTTTTCAGATCATAAAATAGGAAAGTCCATGGAAAACCAAAATACTTTAGAATCATAACCATTCAAAGATATGATGGATGGTGAGAGTGGGACCCACCAATGGGTTCATGATCCCATGTGGTGGGTGTCCAATGTCCCCCATCATTATCCATCATTTCATTTCACGGTTTAACCCAATTGAAAATCGAAGCACACTTGGGTCATCACTGTCCATTAAAAAGACGGATGGTAATGGAGAAAAGAGTATTAGACAACCGTGAGGGCATCTTATTTTGGTGATCCAATTCTCTTTCCATCACAGCCCATCATTTCAATGGCTTGTCATGATTCCAATAGGCTTTGGTTATTCATAATCCATTGAATTATAGAACACCCTTCCCTACAGAAAAACTAAGGCAACAAAGAGCAGTCTTGGACACCCTGACTGAGAAAAACTCACCTGAAATTTGGTAACAAATCAAGCAACTGTTGCTCTCGTAGGATGCAAAGATACAGATGAACATGATCAGATTTAACATTTGCATTATGCCCATGCAATTCCAACTCTTCCAAAGCTGCATTCAAAGACCTCAAAATGCTGGTAGCTGTGAAGGGCATGGCCATTTTTGCACCATCCACTGCCATTTCTGAGTCTTGGGAGTTGGGTTGCCTCACAAGGGTCCGAAGAAACATCCTGTATGTAAGTGGCTTGTCCACAACAGTGTACATATGCCATTGTCGATCTCGAGATGGTGTATATTGTATATCTGTATAGCCTTTAAGTTTGTCCTGAAAAGAGAGTCAGTTCTTCGTTAATGAAGCCAAATCCCTGATCATTTTCTAGTGAAGAGGAAAATAAAGTAGAGCCTAAATAACCTGCCCAAAAATGTTGTCCATCTCAAAAGATTCTAGAAAGAAAACGAGTGCAAAAATCGAAAAAAACCAGTTCAAGAAAGGTAGATAGAGGAGGTTCCAAGTGACGGAGTAAAGGCTCCTCTTCATAGTGCAGCTTATCAGATAACCAATGAAAGGAGTGTCTCATGGGTGCACGCCCCTCATCTCTTTGGATAATACAGCTGACAACATCCACACCAGCACTACAAAGACTTGATCCAATTGTTTCTTCTTTCAGTATTTTTGCTAGTTTATTAATTCTCTCTTGGGCCTGATCCTCATCACCACTGCAAAAGAAATTGACCAATATCTGAAATAATCCAAGAACATACTTGGCGAACATGTGAACCATGGCTTCATGGAAAAGCCAGGTCAGGACATACCTCACAAGAAAATCATGCAAGAAACCAATAAATTAATGCTTACCCCCACTTTTAATAATTGTTTTATCTTTAGCCAGGGCAGGCTAGGTGATTTTTTTTTTTCTTTTGTTTTTTTGGATATTCAATAGAGAAAGGGTCCCTACCTGTGGTAGAAATGGAACTCAAGACATCACATTATGGCGCGCACCCACTCTAACCATGCAGGCTTGAGCCCATTCCTAGGGTAGGTCATTGGGTTGCTATAGTTATTTATACACCCAATATTAATCCTCATCATGATAAAAAACAGACACCTTCGAGAAGGATGAGGCATGGGGTTACCTGTCTTGCAGAAGACTCATTTGATTGTTCATTCCCACTAATGCGACATGCAGCATGTTCCCATGGCTAGCTGATGCAGAAGACCCACTTCGAGAAGGTTCATCACTTGCATTGGAACCTGAGGAATGAGCAGTTTCCTTCAATGCCACATTGATTGCAGTAGGGAGAAATTGAAGAGATTTGATAATAACCATGACTCCCCATCTCTTCTCCACATGCTTCTCAATCTTTGGCTCATCAGACATTGGATATCCTGAACCATCCCTCATTGCAGCATGTTCTTCTGAGAATTTCCACAAAGCAATAAGGGCAGAACGGTGCCACTGCATACGGACACTGCCCTTTTCAAGGTAAGGCTGAAAGAGAAAATGTGTTAAGCCATGTTCAGTACCCAGAAAATAACCAGTGTAAGAATATGCATAAAATTTTGTTTCTAAGAAACTGAGAAAGTAGACAAAAGGGCAATAACCAAGACAGAGCCCATTCTCTCTCAACCATCACCCATAATTTTGTTGGACATACGGCTTCTAATATTCAATTTGATCAACAAAAAGAAATAAATTAAGCTGATCACTTCATGGGGAAATGTTAATAAAAGTAACCTGGTAAAGCCGGCGAACATATGTTTCTACAACACGCCTTTGAAGAGTATGGTCAATGTGATCAAACAAAGCAATGAGAGCATCCTCAACAGCCAAAGGTGCACTAACAAGATCCTCCATCCTCTCCTCAATGGCATTCTTTCGTCGTGGAGTATTAAGGCGTTCACCTTCCTCAGTAAACATCTCCAGCTCCGAGAGGCTCCTAGCAATGCTTGTGCGAAGATCACTCAGTTTGGTATGCTCAAGTAGTTGACTTGCTTTAAGTGTTAGCTGCAAAAAGCACATAGAATACAAATTTGTAAACACCAATGTTGGAATAGATTTTATTTTTTAAGAGAAACCAATGTTGGAGTATTGGATTTCAAAAATCTGAAATCCATTCTCTTAAATGGTTAACTAAACAAAGGAAACATGGATGCAATTCAGAATGTTGCCCAAAACTTTGGATGGCTTTAGTTAATATTTGGAAATACTGTGTGAGTCTTTGTTGAAGTTGCAAAAGGAAAGAACCTCTGGGTTAAATTCAGTTGAGAGAAAAAGAGAAACAAATGTAACCAGCTTTAGTTGAAGTTTACACAAACAGAAAACTTTAGTTAAATTTTAGAAAGGATGTTCAAATTCAAAATCCATGTGCCTATAAACTATGGAGTTGCAAAAGATAAAGAGAGAATGAAATTTCCAATGCAATGTTGACATACAAACTCAATATACCACCCAATATTGATATTTCTCGCATAACACAGACATGCAGTATGAAATGGTTTTTTCTCTGGCCATTGTAGAGTTCAATTCAAACACACAAGTTAGCCATTCTTCTGAATAAACTAAGTGTTGAATTTCAAAGACAATCACCACTAAAGCTACTTAGAATTGAAGATAAACTAATATTACTACTGTAATAAAAGAAATGTAAATAAATAATCAATTAATATTAATTAATAGAGGTATTATTTACATAATGTGCTCTGGTAAAAATAAAAGGTCCCCAAAAGTCTCCAACATAAAAAGGGAATAAGAAAATAAATACTGACGACTTCCATTAACTTTTCCATAAAAAGGATATCAATATATCATAGGTTCATTCATGATCAGTCAGGTATAGTGGCAAACCTCAGAGTAGCTTGTATGATTAAGAGCAGAGAAACGAATTAACTTGTCCCGGTAGGCAGCAGGATTAGGATAAACCAGTGCTTCCATGAGTCTTAGTATGAGTTTATTTTTGCTCCGTACACCCTATAATGTAGATAAATGATGAGGAATCCAAAAATAGAATCACAAATTCCTACAAAATGAATACCCAGAAAAAATGGGATACGTTTTCTGGTTTGATTTGAATAGGGATCAAATAACACTCATAAGAACACAACATACCTGATGAGATAGAACTATGTCGACAACTTTCAAAAGATCCTTCTTGTATTGAAGCCTGAGGCGCTCAATTACATCAGCCTGAAATACCGAAAACAAGAAGTGAGAATCTTGCTGAATCGCAAGCCACGGAAAAGTATTTAATGTGTTTCACAAGAACTCAGGAAGGCACTCTATAATGTAAGGAACCATGGGAAAATGAAGGTCATCACCATCCACTGAAATAATGAGTAGTAAAGCAGAGATGGAGAGGGACTCACCACTAGGTTCATTACCTGTTCTGGGGTCCCTCCCTCCTTCCCTCCCCCACCCTCTCTCTCTCTC